CCTGCAGTAGGATTTATCAGAAACCTGCCAAATATAAAGAGGTAAGGGAACTAGAGAAGCAGTTTATCTGCATACAAACACGTATTTATTTTTTTGTTGTTGTTGTTGATTCAGGTGCTTTGTGCCTATTTAAAACAAACCTCCGGTGGTTTTAACATTTTGAAGAGGAGGTCAGATAATTAACTTTTATTGGCTTAGCTCAAAGCTTTTGATAACAAACATGATTAAAAAGATGTCGTCAACTCTTCTTTCACTCCACCTGGATTCACTTTCTTGGTCGCAGCAATGAGGCAGGGCTTTAAATCCACCATGAAACAGATGCTGCTGGACATGACTTGGTCATGGTGACTTTATTTATTACATGTTTGTTTCCTTCATTACAGTCCATCTACTTCTAGTTGCACGTGCGAGTGAAACGTTTCACTACCGAGTGCGGCACACGCATTGTCCACTTCCTGCTTTGTTTTCCACAGCACTAAGACAACCTCTGTATTTACTACAGACTGCAAGAAACAAGCGAATAATTAATGAGGGTTGCATCAGCCGTTATTCAGCGCTGTGATTACTAGAAACAGCATCAATATTTGCCATAGAGGGAAATATAAATCATACACAGACTGATAACGGTCAGTGGAGCAGTCAGAAGTATTTTTCATCTGTCAGCTGCAGACGTTGGAAACAATGTCCGAGGGTGTGTATTAAATGAGCTGTGACCCGCGGCTCTGTGCCAGTGCAAGAGCACTGACTCCACGAGAGAAAAGAAACAAAACAGAAAAACAAACGCCGGTAAAAGAGTGAACCTCCCTGCTCATCATCATCATCATGGCCCCATTCTTCCTCTCTCAATTGCAACTGAATCGCCTCGGTCTCATTACAGATTATGGCCTCAACAGAGTGACTCTCCCCTTTCTCTCGCCTTTCTCCACACAGTCCCTCTCTTGATTAACATTTTCTGCTAGGCTTCACACCAAAGGCACAACCTGTGCGCTTTAAAGGCAGGGTGAAAAAAAAGCCATCAAGCGCTGGAGTAGAATCAGATAAGGCTATCAGGCAGGAGGCTTTACTGCCTCGGCTTTGTCCCGCTCCTCCACCCGGCCTCGCTTCCTCCCTCAATCTCTCACTCCACTGCACCTTTTGTCCAGCCTGATTCCCTGACAGTACGCTCTTCTCAGCCGGGGACCCCCCAACCTCCTCCAGCACCACTGCACTGTGAGCCTGAGCGCTGCAAACAGCAGCTGAAAGAGAAGGCGAGGCTGATGTTGAAGGTGAAGCCCCAGCAAACGGCTTTAACTCTCAGAACAAGCCTCATTCAGCGTGTTTCACAGAAACAAGTGGAAAATAAAGTGCAGTTTTCATCCGGAAGCAGTACTTAGAGGACAGTTTGGCCCCAGATTTCATTCATGTGAACCATTGGCTCTGGTGAAAGCTGAGAAAAGTTCCTACCTGACACCATCAGAATCAAGTGATTTATTCATTTATTTAGCTTTTATATTGTAACCTTAATATATGTTTATGAGGCAAAACGTATATATAATATACTGTTGTTAATAACAGCAGGTCTTGATCTAAGACCAAAATCTTGCTTTGTTACATAAAACTTCAGATGCATTAACATCATGTGATATAGCAGAGTTTCAGTAGCAAAACTTCATCAATTTAATGTCTCAGATTTAGAGTATCGGTTAACATGCTTGAATATTTGTGCACAAATGTGCCATATTGTTTTAAGTTTAAGTTTTAAGAATGCAAGCATGTTTGTAGCTTAACGCGTATCATTAGACCAGGCAATGTTTCCCATCTTCTGAGAGCGTGTGAATTGTAGCCTGTAGAGGAATAGCACCTGGCGTGGTCTTCTGCTGCTGGAGCCCGTCTGCTTCAGGGTTGTGCTTTCAGAGATGCTCTTCTGCATAGATGTAGCGAGTTTTGTTTTACGTACTTTAGCCTTTCTGTCAACTCAAAGCAGTCTGGCCACTCTCGTGTGACCTCTGACATTTTCACCCTGAAAACTGTCCATGCATACACTGAATATAATATATATTGTCCCGTCCCGTTGAGTGTAATTTCCTTTGCTAAAAAGAGGGGGGGGGAAGTATTCAGTGGAGTGTTTTTTTAATGTAGATTGTGGCTTCCTGTATTAGCTGTGTTGTCATATATTTCTGGGGTGAAGTCTCAAAATATAAAGTCTAATGGAGCGCAAAAAAAAAAAAAAAGAAAAAAGATCCTGCCTGAGTAAATGATCGGAAAAATTATTTTAAAAATGCACCTTATATACGCCTGGATGGTTTTTATTATTAGCGGTATCAGTGTGTGTGTGTGTGTGTGTGTGTGTGTGTGTAACCTCATATTGTCATTGTGGACTCACAGACGTCAGCACAGGTCAGCTGCTCACTCTCCTCCAGATGGTCAGTGAACCTCAGCCTCCTCAGAAAAAAGAGGAGGAGGATCCATTCACTGTGTCACACAAGGTGCCAGTTCACTTCAGCAGATTGACCGGTGCACTGATGCAGCCACCAATGAGGATGAGGAAAGCCTTTAAATCCCCGCCCGGGCCCGCTGCAGGCCGAGCTGCGGCTGCACGCATGTGTCCCTCCAGATCCTCGTCCCGCACCCTCGTCTCATCGCAGATATTTGCAAACAGATGCGAAGAAGGCAGGCCGCCTTGCTTTTTTTGATTAATCAAGCTTTAACAAGTCAAGTTGACTGGATGCGAATGTAACATTTAGCATGTGAAAAGAGGAGGCCTGGTTTTGATTAGGCCTAAGCTGATAAATGGCAGATTCAAACAGGCCCCCCTGCCATTGGAGAGAAACCCCAGAGGTCCAGAGGTTTAAGTCCAGACTGATATCAACTCTGTTGCTTCTCTTTCTTCTTCACACCAATGAATAGATCCATTATTCAGTAGACTCATTCGCATCTCCTAAATTGAAGTGGCAGCAGCTTAAAAGCCCCGTTTTCTAACCCCCCTTCTCGCTTTTTATACGGAGTCGCTCTCCCTAACAAATTTGCCTGCTGAAATATTCATGGGTGCGATTTGTCTCAGTTTGTGCCCCTCGTGTAATCATCGCTTTTACATTTGGGATTTTTGCACTGAATCAGGGAAATAAGCTCATGTTTTTCTCCTAATAGAGTATGTTTAAAAGGAGTTTAAATGAAAGCGGCATAAAAACATCACTTAAAACAATATAGAATTGAATTTAGCAGATACTGTTCCTGTACTTTGCTTTTTTGCATGCAAAAGGACTGTATTGTAATCTGCTGGCATGCTTATCTCCCTTCTGTTTTCCTTTGGGTAGCTTTACATTGTTATAATAATGATTCTCACTCACAAGCTACAACTTTCTCTTTTTTCAAAATCAACTCCTAAAAAGAATTTTTTTTTGTACATCTTGTAAATAAACTCCAGCTTGATATACTTGGTATCTTGGGAAACTTGTAAATCGACAGTTTAATTAATGCCCCATAAAAAAATACATGTTTTTTTAAAAACTCTTCTAGAAGGCCAAAAGTGATGCCTAGAAGATTAGCCTGGTTTTAAAATAAAAAGAAGACCGTTCATATGCCAGAAGTTGTTTTGACCAGCCACCAATTCCATATCGTTAGCTTCATAGCATAAGTGCCTAAGTCATTTTTTGGTCACATTGAGATTTTTGCCTAACTTTACTCCCCTACCACTGCTGCATCATCCTGTCCGTCTGCCTATGTCATCACAAAAAAATGACTTAGGCACTTATGCTATGAAGCTAACGATATGGTGATCAAACAGCTGGAACATTTACCCCAAATGTGCCAAAACAAATGCACAGCAAGTTATCAGAAAAGACTTTGTTGCCGCAACAATGCAGTCCGATGGTCTATAACTCAAAAAACCTGAAGGTAACATTTTGTCTGGCTTCATTAAATATACTAAAGTCAATATATAAAAACAGCTGAGCCTCTGAAAAGCTGAAAAGCTCCGTGTAGTTCCACTGTAGAGTTTGCATGGAAACCTGCCTCCCAGTAGACCCACATGTGGACAAACTGCTGTCAGTACAGGGAAGCATATCGTTATTATTTGTTTCTATCTAAGTTCAGTATGTAGGCCAGAGAATTTTGTTAAAGCGATTCATTTTTTAAAATGAAGAAATAGAACTGAAGTTGTAAACAACACAAGTTGACATCACCAGAGTTAAATGTTATGCCTTTGATCTTTGAACACATCTGGAAACAGTGGTTTTTTTTTTTGTTTTTTTTTAAGTCCTGAAAATAGAAAAAATTAAAAAATAGAAAGCAGAAAAGTTTGCTATCACAGAAACCTCAGAAAAGTGGTCAGTCTAGGCCAGTGGTTCTTAACCTTGTTGGGGGTACTGAAGCCCACTAGTTTCATATGCGCATTCACTGAACCCCTCTTTAGTGAAAAATAAAATGTGATTTTTTTTTCAAATTCAAATGTTTTTTACTGGTGTACAAAATGAGCCGTGCATGTCACGGCGGAGGCTCTGCCGAACCCCTAGGGTTAGTGTTTTTCCTAAGTAGAAATGATTTAATACAAATGCTAATATTTCCCTCTAATATACTCAAACTCAGGAAAAAGCTTTTCCCTATTCAACCACAGCAGTGCCGTTCATTTCGAGGCCTTGACCGCTGCATCTATTCATCTCACTTTCTGTCTTCATATAAAGACCCAGCAGCCAAGTGCCACTCTGACCCCCTTCCTCCCCTCCTTCGCTCCCTCCTCCCCGATCTTGGTCAACTGGACGTCCTGTGAACCTCTCGCCCCGTATTGTCCCCCCTCCCTGACCCCGGTGCGACCAGAGGAGAGAAATATTGCCCTAATCCACTCTGCACACACACACATGCACACACCGTGAGAAGCCTGACGTTGTTACTCGAGCTGCATGTTTCTTTTGACTATCACACATAAAGATGATGAATTCACGTCTGAAATTTAGTATGTCTAAGAGTACAGTTAACATGGCTTCCCCTAGCTCTCAACTTTTGCCTTTGTTTTCTTCTCTTTCCAGTCGACTTTTTGGCAAAGTACTGCATTTTCAGTCAGGAGAAGCTGGCCGAGTACAAAAGGGCTTTTGAAGCAGTAAGTGAAAAGGGATTTAAACCCTTTATATTCCCCTTTTTCTTTTAGGATATTCTGTTTCACTCACTGTAATTTGCTGCTCTCCCTCCCAGAAATACAGATTTTTTTTTCTCCTAACAGTAGCAATGGCTTGCAAAATTTAGGAAAACTGTAAAAATGTTTATCTCAGAATTTAAGAATTTAAGAAAAATCACTTTTTTCCAGTTCACAATCACAGTCAACAAAGAAAACCAATGAGTATTAAAAGAAGGTTGAAACAGATTTCAGCCTTAAGAGAAGATTCTGCTAGTTAATTAATGTGATAATTCACACCTTAGTTGGATTCCTACAATATTTCCAAGGGTCGAAACGAAAAGTCAAAAGAAAAGACTTTAAATCTCAAGTTTTGAGTTTTTGTTTTGCTTTTTTGTAAAATATTTATCGTTTTTTCCACTTTAACCACTATGCTCTGCAACTGGTTGTCGAGTGGTTGCTGGATTTTGCTGGTTGTTACTAGGTGAAAGCACCAAAAGCCTTGGAAGACGGCGACTTGTCTGCAAACAGTTGACAACTACTCGCCAAGCAGTAGTGAAATGTGAAAAAGTATGAGGCAACCTGGAGTCTTTTTCCCTTCAAACTAAAAGTTCTACCTTACCGCCACAACCAACATGTTTTAAAAAGCGCAGTTTTTAGTTTGAAGGCAAAATGTTTTTGTTTCCAGTTTGCGTTTTGAAGTTTCACTACTGAAAAAACGACAAGTTGGCATCATTCATGCAAACTAGAGGCAATCTGCTACAAACCAATCTGGTGGTGTAACCTCGAGCAACCACTCTCCAACTAGTTGGGGAATACACGTTTTCCTCCAGCGACCGGTCTCTAGTCCTGCGTGATTCAGGTTTTATATTCACCTTTATTCTTTAGTATATTCTCTTTCTTTCACTGTAATTTGCTGAACTTCCTTTTAGTAATAATGTAATTTTTCCCACTGATGGTAGTAAGGTTGACAATAAGTTGGCTTTTAATTAATCAGTTAATCCAATCATCCTCAAACTGGATGGATTTATTTCCAAAGGTAATAAAGAAAGTAAAGGTCAAGCTACAGATTTTAATCATCTATCACAACTTTCTGTTGTTTCTTTATATAGTACCCAGCATTTTTCCCTGTTTAATCCTTTAAGTTAAAGATGGTAATGGCAGTCTTCTTTTGCAGGAGGACAGTGACGGTGATGGCTACATCTCCTGTCTGCAGGTCCTCCTCGCTCTTAAAAACATCATCCCTCCTGAGCTGCTTTCCGAAGAGGAAGAGATCTACGTCTACAGGGTGGGTCTTCACTTTGCCTGCACACGCTCACATCACACATTCACGACGCTTTAACAGTTGCATGGGTTTGCTTTTTGGATTTCTTTTCTTTCTTATTTTTCAGATCCTGGAGATGGTGGACTTCAGAGTGACAGATGGGCTCGTGGACCTGAGGCTGTTTGCTGTAATTGCAAGCCTAGCACAGAAAATTGCATCCATGGAGTAAGTGACCAACTAACACACCCCTCAGAGAAGCTGGAGGAGGAGTCGCTGACCTCCCATAAATAAGAATAAGACTGTGTATGCAAGTTTGTTCCAGTGATTTTGCCATCGTGTGTGGGACTCTCTTTGATCCACTTTGCCTTTTTAGAAATGTTTTATACGACTTTAGAGGTCAAGGTTTCGAGTCTGGATGTGATAACTGTGCACTTTGCCCTTAAGGGCTGAAACCAATGTTGAATAGTCACCAGAATTTGACTTAATTCAAACTTATCTTACCATGAAAAAGTTAGATATCATATATGTCCATTAATTTGGAAGAAAACAGCTAGAAAAATGATGCAAAAGCTGTAAAAGAGTTAAAAACTTTATTTAAAGAGCTGTGTTGTATTACTTTAAAAAAGTAATGCATTGCCTCCTTAAAGAGAGTAAAAGTTATATAATTACCAAATAAACAGTATAAAACTAACATTACAGCCACACTAATGAAGGCACACGCTACTCTTTCTTTTAGTCTTTAGGTTTTATTACAAAGATGACCAATGAGCGCATCACAGGAAACACTGCCTGCACTGTGGCCGTGAAGCAAGTCTGCTCAACTGGTTTTAGCTTTCGAAACTCAAGCTTTGGCTCTTTTCTTGTAAGAGGGGTCTTCATACACTCACTCTGGGGTCGTTGCCTACATGGACCGTCGACTACTGTGTCACAAACGACCGTTCTGTGTGTTACTCTCACGTGTGCTGTTGTTGGTGCTTGAAGGTGTCCACTTCAGACACTTTCTGCGCTTCTCATGCTGCTTTTTGGATCTCTGATGTTTTTTCGTGCTTCTCCTGTTCCTAAAGAGCTCCACTGTGGAGCTGGTCTGCAATTAATACATGAAAAAAATTCAACAATTTATTAATTAATTTATTTAAAACAACCCTGAAACAAAATAAAACAAAAAAATTCTCCTCATATCAAACGCTCTACAATCCAGGGGGCTGCTCGCTGTGTGTCTGTGTTTTTAGGTAAAAAGATATCAGGTGTTTTCACTCCTTTCTCACTTTTCACAGCGTAAACGGGAGAAAAAAGAATTAGCAGGCGAACAGATCGTGAAAATAACCGAACCCTGAACCCTGCTCGGGCGGCGCTCGGCCTCCGCGTCCTTGTGTCTCTGCATTGTGCCCCATATGTCGCAGATTCCCACACACAGCGATCTCTCGCTGCCCCGGGCTCTATAGCTTCCTACACACAGGAGAGTGTGGAGCCAAGCCAGCACCAGAGGTCCCCGAGGGTCAAGGCCTGCACCCAAAACCTTCACCCCAGAGTGAGAGCTCCCTCTCAGCGAGTACGGGGCCAGGGTCACGGGTCCTCTGATTTACGGCCAGCCCCTTTGTGTGGTGCATTAGAGGAGGCCTGTAGACTGGCTGCCTCGCTGGCACAGAAAGCCCAGGGTGTCTGCGCTCTATAGAGGCAATTATAGTAATGATAATGAATGTCCATATTAAACCTCTTTTCACAGAACTCCTTTCTGTGATTTAAATGATAAGAAGAGAGGAGATCAGCGCTCCTATCGCCACCTCCTAAACAAGGAGAAAACAATAGCATCCTTCTGCCGTCTCATCCCAACTGAACTCAGCTGATCCTCTTACCTGTTTCACTTAATCCTGTTGTCTGTAATCCTAGCTTCGAAATGAGCTGCAACAGTAGTTACACAATCAGCCTTTCTGATCATGAAGGGCTTAGAGGAGGCGGCTCCCTCATGTTCATAGATGTTTCTTGCAGTTTAACGGCACAGTAATTACACCCTCCTCCCCCGTTTGCTCTCCTCTTTTCTTTTCATCTTTAACTGTCCTCCCCTCTCGTGTCTCTCGTCTCTCCGGCTCTCTTTTTGCCTCCCTCTCACCCTCTCTGTGCTCTCCTGTTTTGGCCCTTGACTCAGGCCATCTGTCCCTGTGTGGCATTGTGCTTCCTCACAAGTCCACCTCACACAGCGCCACATTCCCTCAGGCAGCATCACGTGGTCTGACGGGAAGCACATTACCATGCAGAATTCCCAAACGGCATCGAGCGGAGCCGGCTCATCCTCATGCTTTCGCTGGAAGCTCACGCTGACGATCTCCCCACTACGTAAACTGTCTGATAGAGTTTCCCATCACCCGTCAGCCTGCTCAGAATATCCCAAAACAACCCTCAACTCTGTCAAGTCGAACTAGGTCAGGATATGTTTGCATCCCTTCACCTCCTGCTTCGCCGGTTCCCCAGCGAGGGGACCGCCAAAATTTGGGGAGTATTACGCAAGCGAGAAGTCTGCTGTGCTGGCCACAGCGGGGTGCCGGAGGAGGTCCGACAAAAGAAAATGGGTTAGGCTGCTATTATCCTCCCTGCAGTCCATCATCGGTCCCCTCGCCCCTCATTTACGCGAGCCATTATCACGCCAGTGTCCTTAGCGCACCAGCATTTGGACTCTTTTACTGCAAACCAAGTGCAATTAATAATCATTAGCTGCCCTGTCTCTCTTCATCCCCATCAAGCCCCTGCCTGCACCGTGGTTGGAGGACAAGGGCCAATCATGGAGCTGGGAGCACTCAGGCGTGCACTGCACTTGATGGCCTGGTGCTCAGCCATTCTTTGGTCTAACAGGCCATTGAGCGCTCGGCGAGGAGGGGCTCATTAACACTGGGCGCTCGTTAGAGAAGGGACGGCCGTCGCTGTGCCACACGCTGGACAGGAGAGGCCTGTGCCCACATAATCGGACCAGTCTCCCTCTAATTATCCGAGCAGACCTAGATTGTGCCGGTCTGCGATTTGTCACATTGCTGCAGAGTGTGCGTCCGGTCGCTGACACCCCTCCCCAAACCTCCACACGGACTCAAAACCAGAGCAGTTTTATCCGTTACTGTGGCGGGGTGTCCCCGTTTGCCCACGCATTGTTTGGCTACTGTGAACAACCACAATGGACTCAGAACATTTTACCATCACGTCTCCTGTAAACACGACGTCGCACAGGACAAACCCGCCAAAAAATGCTGCCAAAGTTTTTCCTATTTTTGGAGCGATTACATGACCACAATTATTTGTATTCACAACAACCCCGTTTGTCCTTAAAGGCCAGCTGCTCTCTTCTTTTACACTTCATGACTTAGTCAATAAAAGAATTAGTGCAGTGTGCTCTGGAGGCTCATGGAGCCACTTTGTGTCTGTATTATGAAATCAGAACAGGTTTGCAATCAAATAGCAAAACTATACAGACTGGAATTGTGTAAATAAACTTAACCCTAATCTGGTTTCCTCTGCAAAAAGTTGATCATATTTCTTCTTCTTTTTTCAGTTATTGCAAAAAATAAGCTCTGTTGGAAAAACATATTTCAGACACTATTTGGTTTGGTTAGATGTAGGAATCTTCCAAATTTAAAAATAATATGTTGTTTTTATCTGTTTCAAAACATTAGGGAGTTTTTTTATGTGTCTCTTTTTAACTCTGTAAAGCCTGAACCATGAAATAACTGTCATCCATCCATCCATTCTCTAAACCTTATCAGAATCGGGGGGATTTGGAGTCCATCCCAGCTACCACAGGGCGAGAGGTGGGGTACACTCTGGACAGGTCGCCAGTCTGACGCTGGGCTGAAATAATGCCAAAATAAACCTCATGTATCAGATATTATACACTCGATGTTAAACAGTTAAACATGTGTCTCTGAAAACCATGAAACCTTTACATGTGAGTTTGGGCTGCAGAAATACAAATGACTTGACAAACAAATAAATAAATGCATTTAAACAATAAATTTAAAAAATGAAAATAAGGTTATAAATAGCTCTAAAAAAAAGCAGATGTTCCATGAACTAAATGATGTGCATCCACACGTTGTATAAGTGTGTGTCATACAATTTGGTTGCTTGTATTGTGTATGGGATTATTTAGGGTCTTTTTTATGTTTTTAATCTTTAGGCCAGTAAACTACTTGTGTTTTTTCCCCTCTTATTTGAAAAGAATAATAAACAATTCTATAGACACAAACAGCGCACGTTAGGCATTGAACATTACAAACATTTCTGGGATTGTTACTTTTGAGCTCAATCTTGTTTTAATGATCTGCAGTGTTGTAACCGGTGCTGGGTGTAACACATTCCAAACTAACATGTTACTGTAATCACATTACATTTGTCAGTAATGTAGTAATGTAGCTAAATTGTACTAACTTCATTAATTACATTACAGTTAATTGTGTTGTTACTCGTGTTACATTTACTCAACACTGAGTGTTCGCCAGCTCCTGTTCTCTGGAACCGGCTAGAATCACTGTGGCTCTTTGGGCTCGTTTCCAGCTTTGCATTGGATCTTGTGTGTCCTCATTAGGATAGGGATTTATGTCAGTATGTGGGACTGTAGCCTCAGGTTTATGTTGTTAGCTGGTAATTGTGTTGCAATGTATTTCAGGTCATGTTATAGAATAATGCCAAAGTAATGCAACAATTACTTTTTCCGGTGAGTAATTCAGTAACGTACTGCACTACTTTTAAGACAAGTAACGTTTAAGAAATCACATTTTAATTGTGAATTTATCTGACTGGCAGTAAAGCCTTATTTCAAAGCAGCTCTCAGATCCGTTGTGATTTCACTTTATAGCTTTATAAAGATATAAACGTAGCTCCTCTCTTTCGGGAGTTTCCCAAAGCCTGAAAAATACCCTGATTACATCATCGGGGTAATCTCACTTTGGACTTGGAAACATGAGTTTAAAAGTGAAGATATCCTGGATGTGATTTCTCTACAGGCAGAATTAAACCTTGAAAAGTTTTCAGCTCATGTTCTTATTTTTGCTTTTTCCTTTCAGCGAGTTTATGCGATCGCTAATCAGCAGCATGGACTTCCGATCCTTGGAAGTGAGACTCTTCAAAGCTAAGGTGCAGTGAAAGCTTCCTTTGCCTCATGTTTACACTCTGGAGTTTGTTTTCATGATGTGCCCTCAATGCAACATCAGATTAACTCACACATTAGTCACATTTATTCCACACAAGCCGTCCCCGCCTCTTTTCATGGCCTCGCTGGTATAATTATAATGAAATAAATGCTGGCAAACACTTTGAAGAGTAATTCCAAGGCATCCTTTATACAGCAAGCTTTTTTTATGAGAGGCACTCACCCCTCATGCATAGAAATGAGGGAAGCAAGTCAGGGAGAGAAAGAGAGGGGTGCCTTTCCCTTTTCATAGATTAGCACAGCCTTAATCTCATTAAAGTGCCCAGCAGTGAACATGCCGTCCACTCCGCCCAGCCCTGTAATCAGCCTGAGACACACGGCTCATCTTAGATGGACCAGGATGGATCTACCAGCTGGCCCAGTACTCAGTCACAGAAGGAAGTACTGAGCAATAGAAAGGCAGGAGGAACATGAAAGCCTGCAGCCATGGGTTTGGAAACTGAGCCCCTGGCCAGGTAGGGGAGGCTTCGTAATTACAGAGCTGTTAGGGATAGGGTTGTTAACTGGAGAAGTTGGGGGGGGGCAGCAATGGGGTGTTTGCCAGAGGGATTATAACCCTCCCACCCCTACTCCGCCTCCGCGTCTGACAATTAGTACCTTGACTGCATTAACTGTGCAAACAGGTGCACTCAAAAAAGACTAGAAACAGCCTGTGGTAATCTGAGGCTTCCCTAAAGAGCACACACACAATAACAACACACAAGTGGTTCAAAGAGCAAGACCAGAGCCAGTTTTCCATGTTTGAGGTCATGTCAAAAACTATGATTGTTATTAACTCCTGCAGCAACTTTTCCTGTTCCTCCTGGAGGACCAGCAGGGCGATGCGGGTGCTCAGAAGGGCTTCATCAGCGCAGAGCAGCTGCTGCTGGAGCTGAAGGCCGGGGGCATCCACCTGGATCAGGAGGTGGCCGTCAGACTGGAGCTGCAGCACATTCCTCCTCTGGACCTGCTGGACTTCTTGGCCTACCTGCCCCTCTTCATGCTCATTCACAAGTCGGTGATTTCCAACCCTTTTGATGACTCCAGCAACCTTTGACCTCAGCACTCTGTGGATGACATCTCAGCTGAGCCACGTCTGCTTGTATGAAAAGACGACATGTGACAAACAGAAAAATGATTTTAAAAAGGACATTTGTGGTGGAGATACAAAGTATTTCTTTTAAATTATGCAACTTTGTTACATTTCACTTCTAGCTTTAACCTTTAAATTTGCTGGTAACAACCAGCAAGACTGAGTTTAGAGTGGAAGAAACCATTATACCTTGCTATCTCCGCTGCACGTGAAACTTATTTCTTTCATTTTAAATTGCTCTAAATTAGACATTCAGCATTAGTTTGGGTTTCATAAAATGTATATATATAAATAAGCACTAATATTTATGCAATTAGATATTTAGATCTTAAAGACGAACTCGCTGAAAGAATGCTTTCACATTCTAATGATAAAAACTATGAATACAGGATTTTTAATAATTTAACAGACTATCAGAGACAAGTGTTTGTTGTTGGACATTAAAAAAATAACAGAAGCCTTGGTGATAAAAGCCGCCAGAACAGAAATTACACTGGATGTTTATGACACACTGATAAAAGATAAGTCGATCATTAGACTGACGATCCCTTAGGGACTTCTGTGGGGTAATGTTCAAACAATCTCTCTCCTCGACAGCTGTGTGAACACATATTTCCATATGAATACTTTGAATATAAACAAGAGTCAAGATTTTGGAAGCCAAAATGTTTTTGACCTTTTATAGTTCAATTAATGAATAAACCATGGAAATACAGTCGTGAAGCCATCAGTTATCTTCTGTCAAGGATTCAGATTTTTATTGTCTCCTTTATTTTTTTCTGCATTAATAATGTAAACGCTCTGCAGCGTGTGTGTGTGTGTTTATATCCACGTTACATTTTACACTTTGTTTGCACTGCGCTCCCTTTAGCAGTCATTTCAATGCCCTGAAAATAGAAATGAATTTACTCTGCACTTCCCACTCCATCTCTCATCTGTACGAGTGGCTGAATTTTATTGGCATCGCACAGTCTCAGGTGGTCACATTGCTGCTGGTCTCTTCCTGTGCGCATGTCCTTTACGTCACACGTGTGCTGAGTATGTTCTGTTTCCAGCCTCTGTCGTTTCTCTGAGGCATGTGGATCACGTCACAGAGCAGTAAAGTGCTGTCTGTGGTCCTGAAATCTTCTGTGGCTGCTGTAGTTTCAGAGTCTGACGCTCTGATTCATGTAACAAGTGCTCATTGTTGTGGAGTTTATTAAAAAAAAAAAAGACACAAAAACATTTGAGAAAAATGCAGCAGCGCAGCAGAGCTATTGGCTACCGTCCAGTTCAGTCCAACTTAATCAACACTGATGAATGATGTTCGCTAAGATACTCAACTGATGTGGTTTGAGCCTTTGTTTTGCCTAAGCTTTGCCAATTAGATATGGCCGCGCTCTCCTGCCGCTTGTGCACGCTTGACAGACTGCCGCTGAGGGAAACATAATGAGCTGTGACAGGCAGCAAACCTTTGTAAGCTCTATGTCACCAGAGAAAACAGTCAAAACTGCTTTTATTGTGACTCTTTAGATGCATGTTTTGAACTCCATCTAGTTTGAAAATGTGGCTGCAGGTGATCTTAGGGTCTTCTTACCAGAGACTACAGGAGGAAAGTAGCTTTGTATTATGTACTGTCCATTGTTCCTGCTAAATAAATACAGCTAAATGATAAAAAAGTAAACATTAACTTTCAGCATCCTCCCCTTCCCTCCAATAAACACTTTCCTGTGGACTTCCTGGGCTCAGTCACTTGTTTTGTCTTACTTAAAACAACTTGATTTTCATTTTGTAATTTTGGTCCTCCTCAGATTCCAGAAGGTTGTTAGTATAGTTCATCATGTGACTGGGTCATTAGTCAGTGAGCTCAGATCCATATAGATTGGTTTTAAAACACTCAACAAGTCCATAAGCCTAAATGCATCTTTTATATAGAATCTATAAGGTTAAATGCATCTTTTATTTACAGTCTATAATAATAAACATGTATTTTGTGTACACTCTCTGGGCTTGCCCTACTTGCCCTACTAAGTTGTCGTTTTATATTTTTAAAACAATCCAAAACATTGATTTTATCTTTAGAGAAACAAAGTTCCTCACTCCATAGGTTCCTTGAGTCATAAAGTACCACTGTGTGGCTTTCCCCCCACTGCTGAGCCCCATGACAAAGTCTGGGGACCTCTCACTGTTGGTTGTGTGTTGGAGGTCTTTTTTATTTATTTGTTTTATGTTTTATTTTAATCCAGTCATCATAATTGTTTACTTGTTAAACTGTGATGGTGCTTGGCTGGAGGCTGCCGTGCCTCTTACTTCACTTTTTTAGACACTGAATTAAAGTTAAATTTGAAAACTAAAAAAAAATAAATCACATCTCATTTTTAATGAAGTTCAAGATGCCTTTCAAAATAAAAGGTCTTGAAGTAAATTGAAAGAGGTGAGGAAATTAGAGATGTATTTGCACATACAAGAGTGGGATCAAACCTTTCTCGTGTGCTATTCTGATGGAAAAGTTTTATTCGGGTTTAAAGTTATTCCAAGCTGGCAGAAAATTTTACTCACATCAGAAAATATATACAGAATTTAGAGGTATCATCTGTTTGATCTGAAGTGTTGCAGGTCCTCGCCCGGCAGTGTTTGAGGTGGGGAAACCTGTTTGTTTCTGTGCTTCTAATAAATAGATTAAGTGAATAGATATTATAATTGTTTATTAATTATTGTACAAACAATGAAGTGTCTGCAAGTTAATGCTAAACTCAGACAGTTTTCTAATAACTTGTGTTTTTGAATGAGCCAGGAGGACCCTCTGCCTCTCTCTCAGGCCCTCTGGTGGTCCACGAACTCTCCTTTGTGCGCTCATATTTACAATAAACACGAGTTTTTCCTAAGAATTTCACTAAAACGTGTCTTATTTATGTATTTAACGCCATTTCTGCATAAACACCCACATTAACACCAACATGTTGAACCCCACACTCTGACGGATGTTTTTCCCCTCCCAGGTGGTGGTTGTGTGTTCAGCGGCATGCTGCTGTCAGGAGGCACACGCCATCAGCCAATTCAGCTCCGTGTCTCCACTCGACCACCATTCAGACCCCATTCACTCATTAAACCAGACACGCGTCCGGCTGCAGCCTCCGCCCTACCTGTCAAACTCAGTTGTGCAGAAACCTCAGAGCTCTAGTTCACAATCTCACGTCATGCCCTCCATCTGCAAATTTTAAAGCCTCCTGTTTACTTGAATTATATTTCTCGGTGTGAGTTGAATTGGGGGAAATAGTGTCATTGTAATCCTACAACTTGGGCGATCCACCTTCCAGCCGCTTCGTGCGCACAGACGCTGAGGAAGACTAGCTTGAAAAGCTCACTCGAGGGTTCATTAACTGCAGAGGTGTGTTCATTTTAAGGTCATGTTGTTAAGAGAAATATCACAGCAGTATTTTTATTTTTCACGACATCAATGTGGTGGAGGAGGTGTGTGTGTTTTTAAAATGGAGACAAAGTGGAGTTTTTAAAATGGGGACAAAGTGGAGTTTTACGCATGTTTTGCGAGTGTGAAAAAATGCGTCTGTTGGGTTGAAGGTGCTGGCTGGTATTACCAAGGAGAAAGAGATAACGGTGTGAGAGTTCTCTAGTAAAAGACCTGCGGCTACAGAATCAGTTGAGCCACTCTGCGCTCAGCTTCAAACAAGAAAAGAGAAAATGCATCGTGCGTAAAACGTGCGTTCCTCCCCTTTTATCTCCACGTATTCCATCTACTCATGTTGGTTTTAATGGCCACACAAGGAAAACTGTACCCAGTCGTCGTCGTCCCCCCCCCCCCCCCCCCCGACACACACACACCACCACACACACACACTTTAAAATTAAGACATGAACAGTAATTCAGTAGCATCTCGTTTTATTTTTAGACTAGAGTGTAGAAAATATGGTTATATGACTTCTTATCTTCCGCTTATGTGGAGAGGATATAGAGCTGGCAGTATAAAGAGACAATGCGTGGCTATTGCACTCTGTTTGGACAATAGCTGCATAAGTTTTTGATCATTGTGACATGACATAATGCAATAACGTGGTTCTGCTATTAAATAAGACACATCGGTGCTATAGGATAAAACATCGGAGTATCAAACTCCCTCTGGAACCTCGTGAACACAACAGCCAGAGAATAATAGACTACACGTCTACATAGGCAGGAGGTATAGAAGCGACTTCGCAAATATATAGACAAAATATATACAAAAGGATGTGTACAAAACATCTATAAATCTCTTACATACAAAAATATCTTAATATATCTTAAAAAAAAGAGCGTTTGATATAGAATTTTATAGAATAAATCCGTGACTTGGAAGCATTTTTCTGAAGTCAGCGTCTGAGAGAGAGTTGGTGCTACTGTGATGGGGTTGGCATAGAAGAGTTTTTAATGTGCTGAGAGCGTGAATCGCTTTAGGGTCATTTTCTTTTGTTTTTGTTTGTTTTTTTTTATCAAGGGGACACACAGAAAGTTTGGATTCCCACGCTGCATGTGGGAGACCCGTCTTCCTTTAATCCTTTGGCGCTGATCTCCGGCCTGATGTTCAGTTAAGGCTCCGGGACCCTGCTGAGACTGTCAGGTGTACCGGGGAGGACCATCTTGTTCTTCTCCTCCTCGGGACCATCCCAAGCCCAGGAGAGCAATAAAGTGAGCTGATCCATATTTCTGCGAGGAGGAGGAGAAACGGGAAGTTAGGTTTGTCGGGAGTTAAATGACGATGGTGCCTGGAACGAGCGCGGTGACGTGTGCGCTTACCTCGCACGGATGCTCTTCAGAACCAGTTTGTGAAGTCCAGCAGCTCCTGCTCCTCCGGACTTAGGGGGTCATAGGAGCCCTCGTCGGATGAGTAGGAGGACACGGGGGAGCCTGCCATGGAGTTCATGTCCGCGGAGTATCCCTGCGACATGCCGGGCGACAGCACGCCCGCCTGGAACGCCGCGCTCACGGCGTCGTGCTCGTCCAGCAGCTGCTGCAGCGCGCGGATGTACTCCACGGCGGAGCGCAGTGTCTCCACTTTGCTCATCTTCTTGTTGGCGGCGCCGTTTGGCACGTGCTCCCGCAGCGTGGCGAAGCCGTTGTTGACCAGCTTCACGCGGTTGCGCTCGCGCTCGTTCCTGCGCGCCACCGCGTGCGGCTGCTGCTGTGGCAGGCTGTAGCCGAAACCCGCGAAGTTCAACCGCCGCTTGCAGCGCAGCAGCTCCGGGGAGGAGGAGCGCGGACGCTTCGGTTGCTTGCTCGCGGACTTCCCGCTGCCGCTCGCGCTCAGCTGGACGCTCTGCGCGGAGAAGAAGCACGCGGGCGGCATCAGCTGCTGCTGCTGACTCGCGTTAATTTCCATTTTGGTCGTGAGGTCCCTACCCGCGTGTGGGGAAAAAAACAGAAGTTTTAAAGAATCGCAGAGATTCCGGGAGCGCGTCCCGCTCGTGCCGTTCACGTGCTGTGGCCGCTGGTCGCGCACTTGCTCCAGTGTGGAGGGGGGGGGTGCTACTATTGGTTAGGAGGGCAGTCGCAGCTCCGCTGATGCTGCCTCGCGCTCCTCAAAGCTGCTCTGAGCTCTCGGAGAAAGACGCCACTGCTTTTCAACACGGGTGGCTGAGGGGCTGGCCACGCCCTCCGGTCGCGTGGATACACCTTGGGCTCCTGCCCCGGTACCGGTGCGCCGCGCGCCTGACGCGTGCCACTTGAAGCACTAAACAAACAGTGAGAGGAGAGGGGTTTTTTACGAGAAGGTGAAACAGACTCATAGAAGTCCACACCGAACTCAGTCTGATGCATTTCCAGGTGGACAGTCAGGCGTTTTGTTTTGGGTTTGTTTTTTGTTTTTGTTTTTTACAGGTCAGCTAAAATACAGAGGAGCGAGAGAAAACACAAACTGTGCATAAAATCTATTCACAAAGTGAAGTGTGCGACGTTCTCTCTGCCCGATCCTGATTCTGGTCCCTGTCTGTGCCATTTCTTTACACACAGCCGCTCGTTTGCGGGACTTTGTCAAATTTTCCACTTTGCGCGCCTCATCGGCCGCACAAGCGGAACGAGGAGGCGCAAATCCTCGGTCTGTGCGCGTAACTGGACTCTCTATGCGGGACTAAGAGGTGCACAACAAGAAAACACGCACAAACTCCAACACGCTCTCTCGCGTCTTTGCGCATGCACGCACAACTTTGCGCACTAAACAGAATTAGGATTGTTTTGGGGTTCAGTTTTTGCGGGTGAACTTCTTGCGTGTGTGTGCGCGCACTCTTTTCTCTCCCCCCTTATTCTGGGCACCCGTGCATGCGCGCCTTTAGAGGGGATTGCCATAAATAGTTCAAATTTTCTGTGGCATTCACATTCAGGCACACACACACACAGATACACGCACACACACACACCACCTCCACTTTCTCCTTCAAAACCCAGCCGGAGAGTTTAGAAAAGAGGCGTGGGTCCTATTCAGCGTCCCCCCTGCGCCCCTCCGCCCTGCCTGATCTTTCTGTAACATATATCCACGCTGTTAGCGGGCTTCCACAGTCCAATTATCGTTTTGTGAGGACTCTCTCTCTCTCTCTCTCTCTCCGCTGTTGCTCGTCGTCCAGAGGCTGGGAGGGCACTCACTTTACTGGAGGGGCCTTCCACTCAAAGCTGGGTGTAATAATTAATATGACATCTGTCTACCCGAGTTCCCTCTTTAACCACTTTCTGTATTTTTCCCTCTTTTCTTTGGTGTTGGTGTGTGTGCGGGGCGGGGGGGGGATGCGAGGGATTATCTCTCAGTTTGTTTTGTGGCAGGCTCAGTCACCCAGAAAGACCGATAAACACTTCATCTCTACAAAAATAAATGTAATTTATCATAGTATCATATCATTTATTGTTTTTTGTTTGTTTGTTTTTTTAAACTGAATTATAATTATGGCTGACAAAGTTAAAAATAACTCTTCTGCAGTGGAGCTTCTCTTCTCTTCTAGAATGTTTGGCTTCACACTGATTTAACTCCCTCACGCCTGCGTCGTTTATTGCTTTACAGGTAAAGTTGTAATTAACGGGCGCCCTCTAGAGGACAGCAGTGGACGTTATCACCGAGAAGTAAATCCTCCCATCCTGCCCTGTTTCAGATTGATAGATAGATTCCACAAGAGAAATTGTTGTGTTAAATAAGCAACAATGTTAAAATAAAATAATAAAACAAACCCGAATTTAGTTAAAAGGACTGACACTGTGTAAGAGAGAAGTGCAAATTGCATTAATAAATAATATGTGGACTATGATCTAATAACATCTGCAAGTTTAAATAACTTTTTTTCTAATTTTAGCTTATGTTTATGTTTAATGGCTAGTTTTCTTCACTTTGAGTGTTCGTTTTGGTGCTTTTCACGCTTTAATATGTTTTAATATCGTGTTTGTTTGCAAAATGTTTAAATTAATAAGATAACGATGAGATTTATTTTTTCACCAACTTGGGGAAGATTCAATAGATCACCAGGTGCATGGTCTGGGTACATAATGTAATTTTCTTTGCTGTTATGGGGGTCCAGCAAAGAAAGAACAGAGGCAAGAACGAAAATCAAACTATTTGAAAGTATGCACTTACGCTCATTGACCGCCAGGTGTCAGTATTTCACAGCGTACGTAAACTTAAACTAGCTCCGTTTTAAAAGCTCTCTTTCTTCAAACATACACATGTGCGTACATGTTTTTACTACTACTACTAAAATATATATATGGAAACAGGAACACGTCCAGGCAGATCAGTGCTTTGGTTTGCGGATCACCTTTTATGTCTCTGCTACGATCCCGTAGATATTAGGTCACGTGGTTTTGTTTACTAGGAGGAGGCGGTGAGCGCGTGAATGAGGTAGCCAGAGCAGTATCGGTAAATCAGCGGCCGTAAAGGGAATACAAAGACTATCAGCTATGCGCTCTCTGAACTATGTGCACCGGGTTAGCTTAGACTTCACAGGGACTCTGTTTCCTCACGCCATCTGTCTGGGAGACGCAGACAACGATTCGGTACGGAAGCTAAGCTAACTTTTGTTTATTATTGTTATCGTTAATGTTTGTTTTGTCTTCTCGGACCTCTTGAATGCAGACTTTTAAATGTTTAAATTAAATTCTAAATATATTTAGTAATGTATTTATTTATGGTTTGATAACTAGACTTTTTGCAGTCTGTTCTTATTATAATAAGTCTTGAGTCACCGCTCATTTCTTTCTGCATCTTGCTTCCAAAGAGGAAGAAATTCTGGTACTTTTTTTCAAGTTCTCCTTGGTTGTTCGGACACTGGCTGCTTTTTAACTTATTTTCAGTTGAGTGCTGTTTGCTTCCTGATCTTTTTCATTTTTACCTGACTGAAAAAACAATTAAAAAGGCACCACACTAAAGGGATGAATCAGTGCTGTGTCTGCACATGGCAACTTAGGGTTTCAGCCAGTGTCGTGTTAGAGAACTCACATTTTGATCCACTATTGCTGATGTGTGCCAAATTACCTGGAAAACATGTGATTGGCAGTGGCTCTGTTTATCAGCATGACAGTGATTCCAAACACAAACACATCTATTCCCCATTTTCCTAGCAAAATCTAATGATGTTTTGTCTCACAATTAATGACTTTTTAGCTTCTCAGTTTAGAATTTGTCTTGATCAAGAAGAGTAAAAAAATTTTTTATATGAGCTGTGTTACCTGATTGTTCAACTGCTCCACTAACACGGCTGTCTCCCTTCTCTGCAGCTGAACGAGCTGGTCGTAGGAGACACCAACGGAAAGCTGCTTGTTTACAAGAACGATGACTCCAAACCTTGGATCACAAGGTCCTGCGTGGGCATGGTCAGTGCAGGTGCTAGAAAAATCCTTTTGTGTCATGTGATCTGTGGCTCATGTGGTGTGTTGTGCTTTCCCAGCTGACCTGCGTTGCTGTTGGAGATGTGTGCAACAAAGGAAAGGTGAGAACAGAGAAGTCAGAAGCTGCATATTGTCTGAAAGTTTAGGATTTGATGTGACGGCGTGTTTTTATTTTTATTTTTTCTGTGTGTCAGAACTTCGTGGTTGCCGTGGGCGCAGAGGGCTGGTTTCACCTCTTTGACCTCACAGCTGCTGCCGCGAGCAAGGCAGACTCATCCAGCCAGCACGAGTTTCAGTCACCTGATGACCAGAAGCCCTTCCTCACCCAGCACATTCCCGCCAACACCAAAGTCATCCTCATCAGTGATATTGGTAAATTCTCGCTAAATTCTTCTGTGATAAATGTGGATTTTTGTGATTTTTGAGTGCAGCGTATGCGTGTCTGCAGATGGAGATGGGCGCTGCGAGCTGGTGGTGGGATACACAGACCGAGTGGTGCGAGCCTTTCGCTGGGAGGAGCCGTCTGACAGCTCTGATGCAGGGCCCGGTCAGCTGATTCTGTTGAAGAAATGGCTTCTGGAGGGACAGGTGAGCTCAGGTGTTGTTTCTTACCAGCATGTGAAATCACTAAACTTGACTTGATGTGGGGGGGGGTATTTTCTGGGCACACTTTGGACCCCTTTGTACAAACTGAGCATCATTTAAACCCCACGGTCTACCCGAGTGTTGTTCCAGACCACGTCTATCCCTTGGATCACAGTGCACACATCTCCTCATGTACTCTGTACTTCACAGGCTGTCATCAGATCTCAGTACAATAGAGCACCTTTGGGATGTGGTGCAGAGGGAGATTTGCAGCGACTGTGTGATGTTATCATGTCAGTATGGACCAAAATCTCTGAGGAATGTTTCCAGGACCTTTTTAAATCTGTTCCACAAAGAATTAAAGCACTTCTGAACGCAAAAGAGGGTGCAGTCTAGTGCCAGTAAGGTGCACCTTATAAATAAACTACTTTATATTTTCTCAGCAAACTTTAATGAAAACTTTCACCACTAGGTAGCAGCATTTTACCAAATTATTTTAGCGTAGTCCACCCCAATGAGCGGTACCTCCGCCTGTGTACACGTGACATTATTTTGTATTACCACTGTGAAAACGTTCAGTTCAGTTCAGTTCATTTTTATTTCAAACATTTCAAACATGTGCCTTCACAATCATTACAAACTATTATTCCATTAGACAGAAAACCCATAAAACCATGGCAAGCTGACCTTAGTAGGTACTAATGGAAAAGGGCGTTTGGGCACTCAAGGCCCTCCATAGATGAGACCTAGCTGAATAAATAATCAGGTATTGGCTGTTCTGCAGGTGGACAGTCTGTCAGTGAACCCGGGTCCAGAGGGGTTACCTGAGCTGATGGTGTCTCAGCCAGGCTGCGGCTACGCCATCCTGCTCTGCTCCTGGACGCAACAGGACTCCTCCGACTCTGGCGACGACACCCCCACCACGCCTGGGAGGTAGACGCCTCCTCCATTATAATGTGAGTGTCGGTTAAAGCGATTGATGGACTGGATTAATTTAGCGTGATTTCCCTCCTGACAGCGAGGGGCCCTCCAGAGACGTAGTTCTCCATCTGACCACCGGGCGGATACACAACAAGAACGTTTCCACTC